CGCAGATTTATAACCATGCACTGTATAGCTATTAACTACCATGTAATCACACGTCATATTGCCTATTCATCAATTTGCGTGACGCATGAGAATATTTACATTGAAATATTTCCCAGTGGCTTTATTTACCTTGGCTTGGCTTGAGTAAGAACATAAAACATGAAGGCAAGATCATTTTGAATGTCAATCCAGAGCTGTGTGTAATGATTCCTTTCCTTGAATACGCCTTGGAAGGGTTCAGTAAGACTACATACTATCTGCTACCTCTGTCTTCACTCTTTCTGTACACAATGAGAGCTACTTCTACAAAGAAAATAATCTACGGGACCAAAAACAGCTGTCGACTGTGGGGCGACAATAGAAGCTGTCACAGGGTAGGCGGAAGTTTCAAAACAGTTACTTCAGATTAATAGGTTTTTCATTTTAAAGACGACTTTGCTGTGTAAAATAAACCCAAGTGCATTTTGGGTTTTTTTTTTTTTTAAGCAGATTTTCTCACACTCTGCAGCCATTTCTGCACAAATTCAGATAATTCCACAAACATTTTACACAGGTGTATACATCTCGCTGTTTAGCCAGATCACTCACTATAACCCTCATCACAATAGATAGGCTGCAAAATTCCTTAATTATAATGTGAAAATTTGTGTTCATGCACAAAAATTACATTCATTGCTCACTAAAACAAAACTAAGCATTAAATGGTATGCATTTCTGCTACAGTACATGAGAAATGGTATTTCTGAATGCCAGCAAACTTCCCACGTCTCACGTATATAGGAAATTCCTTAAGTGTCTCTCCTCAAAATGTGGCAAACTAGGTTATTCTTATTTAGCTTTAAGCAAAGTTGTAAGATCTTCAAATAGCCAATTATGCCAACGGTAATATCATATTTATGAGCATCAAAAAGATTAAACCTAGATTAGTCAATCATTTCAAACATTTATAATATTCTGTAACGGTCACATGGCCTCTTGAACTAACTACCTTCTGCTCATGTCCTTAAGCTCTGCAGAACCAGACACGCCTGTTGATTTTGTAGGAGTATAATGGATTGCCAAGGATATTGAGATTGCAGTGCTCTCACGTCCCAGCACGCAGCAGGCATGTACCTGGGGAACCCACCTGAGCGCCAAGGTCTTGAAGCTCCTTGCACGACTCGGGAAAAATGTCTGTAGCGATGATGGGATAGCCTTGCTTCAGCAGGTTCTTGGCCATGGGCCTTCCCATGTTTCCCAAGCCGACAAAGCCCACCTGCGTCTTGGAGGCCAAAGCTCGAGACAGGGCTGAACAGGAAGAAACGCGCATTAATGCACACTAGACATGAAGAGACCACATTCACCACATGTAGAATTACTAAGCAAGTGTGTATTTTGCTTGTATCTTCTCTTCTGACCAATAGTTCCAGCCCAGATTATTCTTCAATTAAGAATGGACTATTTAAAAACTGAACATGCTCAGTATTCGGTCTGCCTACTTTCAGTTTGGGGTAAAACGGGAAACCATAGATACTTTCCTGTGCAAAATTATCAAACAAATTATTTGGGGGCGGGGGGGGGGGGTGTGGAAAGTACTAGGTGCAGTGGTGCTATGTGGCAATGCTATGGTCACAAAGGCTGAAATACGACCTCAACTAGATAAGGCACATAAGCTATAAGTTCAAAAACAGGGAGGGACACGTCTCAAGAGTTTAGTAAAGTTTTGTGGACAGCTGAGATGAGAGTGACTCTTGATGGAGCTGACGGGTGGAGCTGATGGGTGGAGCTGATGGGTGGGCCAGGGGAGAGACACCTTTCTCGAGTGCCAACAAGGTGGTGGAGGAGAGATGATGCAGAATGCTATTATCAATGATGAACTTGTTTGACTATTCCAACGTGCAAGGGGAACAGTCAATTTCAAGAAGAACAAGAAGAAGGTTATGCAGGACAATGTTCCTTCCCATGCATTGAAGTATTCCATAGACTGGCCAATAAAGGGCTTGAAATGTGATTGAATTATGACCTTCATTGCCTGACTTAATCCCCATTGAGAGCAACTGGGCCTAGCTAATGTGGAGGATGGACCAAGGCAGCAGGCAGTGCACTTCTCAGAGCAGCATCTGGGACACGGTCCTCGCTGCCTCAGCTAATATAGAAGGTGATCAAATCAAAAACCTGCCTGGTTCAATGGACAACAGGCTCATGATGGTCATTAATAAGAAAGGCAGCTATACAGGACATCGAACTTGGTAAAGTTGACTTTATATAACAACCGATAGTTTCTTATTCCTTATAAACTGGCATATTTTGTTCTGTATTAACATACTGAGAAGGTCTTCTAGGCTGGAAAAGGCTTGACTTCAACATTTTGGTCCTTCAAAGCTGAACACTTCCCTCAATATAGAAGCCCATTACAGGACAGCAACCTCATGGATGTTACTACAGCATACAAACTGGACACCCAAGAACACAGCTGGGCATGGAAGAACAGTAGCTGTGTGACACTAATCACAGCAAAAAGGGTTCACATATAATCTGTATGTGTACAGGGATATTTCCTGCTTGGTATGAGCTTGTTCTGGTGCCAGCTAAAGTTAGTTAAACAAAAACCTTGATCAAAATGGACACATTTAAATGTATATATGTATTAAATTACAAACTAGTAGCGATTGTTTGCCTGGTTTCTGTGACGATTTCAATAATAATTACCATCCATTAAACCTACATGACTAAACAAAAGTTAAAAAAGTAAAAATTATTTCCGTAGGAACAGCGCCTTTAAATTATCTAGGCAAACCAGGCAATGTGCTATGCAGGACTTTTTTTTAATCGCTGCTTTCTTTTAGAAAGGTGTGCAAAACAAGCAATCTGACAGAGCTGGTATCACACACTGCCAGATTCACCTCACCTTACCCCAGAGGTAAATTAAATCCTACTTCAAAAGTTACTTTCCATTTAAAGTACTGCATAATAAACCAACTCACTTGCATTTTAATGTGGACGGTAAGAAAGCGGTGGTAGATGATTCTCATATCTTTCCGTTTTACAGCAAATAATACATGCAATTTGTGTATGCAATTATCAGCATCACTCAAATTATTAACTCATTAAGTATAGTTGCATTTTTGAAGCTAAACGCATGTTTTAAGATGCACATCTGATCCATAAACACAACTGCAGCGCAAGCTTTAGTCGGCAAGAGAAGATTGCCTTTTATTTTCATTATCATTTCATTTGATTTCATTTGTACCTGAAATGGCATAATACTCCCTAATTAAATGCCTTAGTTGCCTTCTGAAATCCCCTTTCCGGCCAAATAACTGGTTGTTGAGTTACATCTTGCGATGCAGCAAGAAACATCTAGGTGACATTGAGGTATGCATATTTTGGCATTTAGCGAAGAGCCGATGCCTAAGAAGTGGTACCTGGCAAACGATCGGCATGACAGACAGCGCCAGCACTGGACGGCTAGTCGACCCGCTAAGGCTGCTACAGCCAATAAACGACTATTCAGGCAATTTTACCGACCTTCGCCGTCCTCACGCAACAACAGTAAACGACGCACACAGCAGATAAATGTGCACTCAGTTTGAATATGTATGACAGTAAGAGCATACGTTACCCAGCGAAACGACGACATGCTTATTCCACTTTTTAAATAAATTCTGAGACCTTCTAACGAGGGCAGCCATGCTTTTCTCGGTTTTACGTCGGCTGGAAAAGATTGATTGGAGATTATGTGATTTTTATCCAATCACCAATGAATGCTCAATCCTGCGTCCAATGAGAATTAAAGGAGGGCGGGCGTGAAGATGTATTATTTCAGTTATTCTGTTCAAAGAAATGGACCAATGGGAGCTGTGCACCCATGTTCATCGTGACAGCCTACAACCTTCAGTCCATAATGGTATGCAACATTTCGGAAAAAAAACAGTTTTGTCTGGACGATTGCTCTTCACCGCTTGTTGATTTCATTCTAAACGATTAAATCCGCGCCTTGTTTGAAATACACCAATTGACTGGTGTGTGACCCCCCTCCAAATTTACAGTACCCGAATCATAGTTTCCATTACAAGAATGACGTTTGGAGAAAAGGTGAAATTAGTACCGGATATATAATTTGCTGCAAAACAAGTTTGTCATTAAAACGCGTCCATTGTTGGTCATTACTAGTTCAGTTAAAACAAACTAATATAACAGACCAGGGGTCTCAAACTCCAGTCCTGGGGGCCGGAGCCCTGTGTAGCTTAGTTTTTTCCCTGTTCCACCATAAATGATTCAGCTCAAGAGCTGTGTGGTAATTAGCACAAGGAGTTTAATCAGGTGTATTAAATGAGGGTGAACCAAAAACTGTGTAGGGCTCCAGCCCCCCAGGACTGGAGTTTGAGACCCCTGGTGTAACGCCTTGTGCTACTTGGAATAGGCTCCAGCCAAACCTGTCCAGGATAAGCAGTTAAAAGATGAAAAGACATGCATAACCAGTGTTGGGGAGTAATTAGTTACATGTAAAGACGTAATGAAATCACAAAATAATGTAACTGTAATCCGTCATTTACTGAGAAAAATATGTGATAACACTTCAGGGGGCACAAACAATGTAGTATTATGCTATTACTTATGTATCAATTAACCAAAAAACAAGTCTTAGTTACATACTGATCACATGTTAATTCATTAATGAATCGTGACGCATGTTTTATCTCAAGCAGTTACTATGTCTGTTAATTCTGTAAACCTTTGGAATCTACTGAAGGAACAAGTCATGCATAAAACAAGTGAAATACTGATTTCTACTGATTACTACTACATTTCAAAAGTAACCCTCCAAATACTGTGTATATCCACGTAAACGTTAAATGGAAAAATGGTAAATGTAACATCATTGTCCCGATATTTCGGAAAAATTCATGTAATTTGGGGAAGATGCACATGATGCAATGAAACATAACATCAAACAAAATAGCTCGTAGCCGTAGCGCGAGCCACACCGGAAGTGATGTCATCGTGTTTTGAGACTTCAGGAAGACGGCGAGAAGAGCAGCACTCCGGATAACTGCGTCAGTAGTGTTGAAGATAAAGTTTTACACACATTCACGTGGAAAATTATATTGTTTTAATTATCCTTTTGGTTCGTTGTTTATAATGTGTTGTATCCTTGACTAGCTCGGTAAATGTATACATTTCTGGTGTTTTCAGTTTTTGTTAGTTGAGCGAATGTAAACAATTCAGATAACAATGTGTTTGTGACTGTCCGTGTCCAGTGTCTTCTATTTACCGGCCCTCGGTAATATTTGTAAAGGCAGCTAGTGAAGTTTTGACGTTTTACATCGTATGATACATTAGCGACAACTGGCTAGCTGCTAGCGTGTACGAGCTGCGTGAGTTATTTTCCTGGAGCTTAACGGCCTGGCCTGTGGAATGGGCCTTAAAGGAAAAGGTCGATTTTTCAGACGTCACAGGCCGCATTTTATCTATGTTGAGGTAGTTTTATGCGATACAGCGGACCGCCGCCCGTAATGGGAGATCACGTGACAGGCTTTGTTCCCCAACCGTAATCCGATCGCTTCCACTTTTAAGCCGGACCCTTAAAACATGGAAGAATCAGCCGGGTTTTCCATGATTAATTGCGTATTTTTAATCCCAGAATTTCTACCAGCGAAAGTTAAATGCCCATGACGTTGTTGTTGATCTTAAGACATTGATAATATGTTATTTTTTGACGATACAATTAATAGGTTATATATGGGTTAAATGCAGAGGACACAATTCTTGGTTGTGCACTGTGTGCTGTGGTGTATCAACAATGACAGTTAACTCCTTAACTTTATTCACTTCATTATTTATGGTTCATTCTTAGCCATATTTATTGGGTAAAAATTGGTTAAGTGGGACAAAATGAAAAATGGGACACTTGTATATTTTATACTCTGTCTTTATGCATCTGTGGTCACTTGCGCTCAGTTCTTGAGCTTTTATATTAAATATATAATAAATATATTAAAATATGTTTTAATGTATTTTTTAAAACTTCCCCAGTACGAATATCTATCCTACAGTACATACTGATGAGTTCGTAATGTTGTAGAGCTTTCATGCACTGCCAGTTAGACCTCTCACTAACAGATAGGGGTTACTGCTTTGGTACCATGACATGATGTGCATCCTCCGCTTCACCTGTGCTCCAGGAGTGTCTGTTTGGACCGGGGAATGGCGTTATTCCACGAAGGCACATTGGCTAACAGTGGCATGGAAACCTCCAACTTCGCCCACGTTATCTTCCAGAACATGGGGAAGAGTTATCTTCCCCATGCGGCGCTGGAGTGCAGCTACACTCTCAGCCAATACATCAAGCCACATCCCAAGGACTGGGTCGGCATATTTAAGGTCAGTTTTGTCCTCGTTCCTATACCCTTGTCTTCCTTTACTCCTCTACTGTTTTGTAGCCTCTAGGCTCGTTTGAGTCATTCCGGGGGACCTCTTTTAGTTAATAATCCCAAACAGAAGAACCTTAACTTCTTCCACTTCAGTCTATCTAGATAATGGCAGAAGTGTAACAAGACGGCAAGGAAAAATTTGCTGAGGTGTTTGATATTGGATGATGGATTCTGTGTTGACAGATTCTGCCCTGGCCATTTGTTGGCTCTAATACAGGAGTGGGGAATCTGATCCATGGACAGTCGGCGTGGGTGCGGGTTTTTGGGATGGCCTCTCAATCAGCCAATAACAGTGGGTCTCCGGGACTGGAGTTGGGAACCACTGCTTATTATTAACTGATCGAGAGGGCATCCCGAAAACCTGCACCCACAGCGGCTCTCCAAGGATCTGGCTGCCCAACCCTGCTCTAATATGTCTTTTCATCACCCTTTTCCATTTTCTTGCACTTATGAAAAAACTTTTAAAAAATGGTAAACAATCGGTGGATTTCCTAAGATCATAAGTATGTACCAAGTATATCGGTATAGTCATATCTCATTATTAGAGTAAAATGCAGAAGTTGTGTTACTGGCAGTATTGGTTTTGCAGTGAATTGTGAGATGTAAGGTTGGTTTTTGGGTATGCTGTAGTGCCTGCTGCAATACTCAGCCACTTAAGACCACCTTAGTAAGGTTTTAAATATATAATTAGGATCTCAAAAAAGTGGTAAGAGGACTGTGCCTGTAAGAATGGCAAAGGTTCTCACAGGCAACCTGTTTGATGGAAAAATCCCCTGTAATGTAATAGTAAATCAGAAACAACATATGATGCTAATACATTAACTTTCTTAGCATATTTGATGTGAATGATGATGCCTGATGACTCAGTGGTAAGTATACAGAGTACATCTTAGTCATTTCAGTGGGATTTTCTCAAGCAGAACGGTTAACTCTGTGAGTTTGTGTTTGGGCCCAGATGGCTTGATTTTCTTCAGTAATTTTCAGGGTACAGTTTGCGGCTTTCAGAGTTTTCTTTACGCCTCAGTTATTTTGCACCTGAGCTCCTCCCCTGAGTGGTAGGATGTTGGCCTGTATCTTGCATAGTCAGTTATGGATTTTGGTGAAATTTCTGAATTCTTTTTTTCTGGAGCCAGTGTAAAGCATTCCTTATTTAGCACTGCTTAGCGGGCATGAGTCCGTAGAGGATTTTAGGCGTGAGCGCTTCTGAAGTGGTTATCCGTCCCATTTCAGCATCCGACTCCTGCCAGGCTTTTGCTGAAAACCACAGTTGCTTTGCTGGATTTTGTCAGACTGGAATTGCATCTTGGCTGAAATATTTATTTATAGATAACCATGACTTAGTTACAGTCGCGGGCATATGGATTGTCGCATTCTTGAGAGTCTGGTTAGAAGTGAATGCTTGACATGCAGATTTGTTTCCTTGGCCTTCAAAGTTGAGAAAACTTTCCTGATCCACCAAAGATCAGAGTCTGGCAGGTTTTAGATGGTTTTAATTTGTGCTGCCAGCAGCAGTGACTTAATATAACAATTAATGCAGTGAAAGCTATGAAAGATGAAGGTACACCAAGCCTGATTTAAAGCATAGCTACTTACTTATAATAAGGTCTATGTGAAGGTTGAATGGTGCAACAGCATGTATATTAAGTCATCTAACAGCAGCCAATTGGAATAAATTATTTTGTCTTGTGTCTTCATGCATGTTGTTTGAATGGGGCAACATTTTTTGGGTTTGAGCTTTAGCAGTGTGAGTTCATGTATTGTGCTGTTTGGCAGTAAATATGTGGAGGGATTTGGGTCTGGCTGCTGTTGAGGAAATCAGTGCCGCAGGTAGGTAGGAGATGTTTCTCAGCTTCTCAGGGAAAGTGAAACGACAGGTTGTGTGTCCACTTTGGGCGGAGCAGCTGCTGACAGAGCCGGACCACAGGGGGCCGAGGTTGAGGATGGCAGTATATGAGCGGGTGGGGCCGTGAGGCGTCCCGCAGGGGGTTAAGCCGGTTGGATCCCAAACGCTTGATTGTTAGAGCTCCAGGAAAAAGCGCTACATGTGTTTGATGCTGGGGCTTCTCTCTTTTTTTTTTGTAGCTTTTAATTAATGGCCCGTTCAGCTCCTTGAGATTAGGACAGCTTGCCTGAAAGGCAGTTTCTGAAATGTAGATTTATTTGGTATGACGACCAAATACGGAACCGCCGTTGTACTGAGGAAGAATGAAATATGATGGTTGACAGGCAGACAGGTTTGGGGGGAGCTCTGGCTGATTCTGATAGCTGCGGAGGGTGGTCTGCAGCTCAGTGGCACTCATTGATTATACATGGCATGTGGGTTGAGGGGGGAGGAGCCTGGCATAGACCCGTAGGTGAGGCATGCTGGGACCGGGACGTGTGGCCTGTGATCCAGCCTCTAATTTGACCCCTTCAAAGTCGAGGTGCTGGGGCTCTCTTTCTGTGACGCGTCAAAGGCGGCCCTTTGTGGGGCATGCCATCTTCGCATGCCTTCGTTACATAATTGAGGCCGTCCTCGTGAAATTGCGGAGGGAGGCGATTCGACCACATAAAAAGGCATTATCGTCTTGGAGAGAAACCATGAAGAGCTTGGCCCCATAAATCCCGCCTGAGATTAAATGTTCACTTGAATGTGCACTTATCCCTCCCCACACCTACAACTCCCCCCCCTGTTGTCCGGTTCTGGAGGGGCCGAAATGTGGCTGCTGAGACCCAAGTGCCAAGTTCTGGAACTGCAACAGAACATATCTGATGACTAGTTGGTTACTGAAACTTTGCCTCACACTTTGTGTGTGTATTTTTTATTCACACTTACTGCTACACTTCTCTTAGTAACACGGTAACAGAATCAGAGATATTTTATACTGTCTTAAGTGATTTGAATGTCTTCAGGGTGGTTGTTGGGTCTGTACTGAGCAACCCTGGGAAAGCAGAAAGCAGACCCATAAATCCTTCACACAACCCTATCTGCTATGACAGACAAGCCCCAGGCAGCATTGCGCTCAAACCCTCATACCTGGCTGATGTGTCACTCGCCCTCAGCCACGTTCTATCACTGAGCGTTACGCTGTGGTGAGATGCAGTCGCCCCCTAGTGGCAGGCGACTGGTCTGACCCCTGCACTACTGTTCCCTTCTCGCTAAATTCCTTGCTTGCCCGCCAGGCAAGAATGTCCCAAGTGTGCTTCTGTGTCTGAATCTTTGCCCAAGGTTTCTGTATGACTGTATGGGTTCAAAAGTCATTGCTCTGATTTCATTCCTGTTGCAGAAAATAGCAGCGTGCAGAATTACAGTGATTGCAGTCTGAGCACAAATACCATTTTTCATGAAGCATCTCTTCCTGCTGTTAAGAACTTCATGTAACTTTATAATCTTTACATATTATGAAAATAAAATCAAATGGACATAATGGAAATATGCTTTCAAGAAGTATCTGTAAACGGTTGCTTTAGATCTTGTATGCAGTGTGCTTAAAACCTGTAAGGACCTAGAAAGTGTATATTAATGACTTTGCTTCATGATTAATTATGAAGGATAACCTAAATAATTTATGTGACTGTGTCAATATACATGACAGTTCTATGATGTGATTTCTTGTTGAACTGATTTTAGCACTTTATTGTTATTGCTGATAGATTTCTGTATGTTACTTGTTTCAAGTGGGGGGAGGGGATGGGTTCTGGGGTTTGGATGCTCAGAAATGCTTCCGTCAGCCCTTTGATGCGCCTCGTCTATACGGGGGCTGGCTCTTAAAGGAGCTCCGCACGTAGCGCTCGGACCGTTGGGACAAGTCGACCAAGTCGCCCGGGAGAATCCAAACAGCGAGTTTATAATTAGCCTGTCAGCTCGGCACTGAGTGTGACTTAACTCCCTGATTTATTGAGATCTCTCTGTATTTATTCGAACAAATTGTTCCTGTGTGTACTTGCTGCCAAGAAGTGGTCTGGGCTGCCTAATCACCTGCAGTCCTCTGCCGTGCAATTACGCAGTTATTTACGATCAGCTCTTCTCTTCGGGGAGCCAAGCAGCCACATCCGGTATCCGAACGGATTTGGCCTTTTGATGTCGGAAGCTCGTGTCGGCGCCCGCTCGTGTCGCCGGCTTCGCAGGCCGTTTTCAGCCCACTCCGCATGTACAGATTTGACTGTGGATGGTTTTTAATTGGATGTTATTGTCAGTTGAGTTGAATGCCCATTAATGTCATTACAGTCCAGATGACGCAGTTTGGCCCTGGGACTGAAGACGTGGTTCTCCCCCGTCCGCCTCTGAGTCTGTGACACTCTAACAAGGGCTGAGTGCTCGCCTCGCTAATGACGTTTGGGTTTTAATCACTTCCTGTACCTTGTAGCCATAATTAATGGACAACAGAGTCCAGCAGTCAAGAAATATGTTGCAGGCTAGTTGTAAGGAAGGACCTAGAAAAAAGTGGTGTATCTCTTAGAATTAACATCAGAGGTGTTCAGAGGTATTCTCTATGACTCCTTATGGACAATGAAGAAACAAGACAGGATCAGCATCAATGAATTTGCACTTAGGTCTTGGGGACTTCTACAAATACTGTAGACAAGAAATGGATTGTTGATCAAATTTAGCCTGAATTTTCACTTGAAGCACAAATTACCAGATTGAAGCAGTCTTAATTTTGGACATAATGTGAAAAGACATGGTGCATTGCAGATCATAATGCACTAGGAAAGTTGATTGGAAATGAGGAAGATAATGACCAGCAACGAGATGGATGGGATCAGCATGCTGTGGGAAACCCTGTGGTTTACATGTCTGCTGTCAGTGAGCATACCAAGGGAAAACCTGAAGTACCAGACAGAAGACGAGACATTTTGAAGGGATGGTCACCAGGAATCAACATCAACTGGATGGTACCTAATAAATAGCTCCCCCACTCCCCCAGTCCAGGGTACAACTTTTGGATGTCAAACATTATTTAAGAAACAAGATCAGACCCTGGACATTTTTAAGGAAAAATGGGAAAAATCTATATGGAGACCAATGCAGTTGCTGTCAGGATAGCAGTCGCTTACACGAGATCAACCCCCTGGATTTGGGAGCTCAGGATTGTGAATGTGTGTGCGCGCATGCGTGTGCGCACGCGTGTGCGCTCGTGGAGGTTCACCGCACACTGTCCGCACGTGTTTGGAAATGCAGCCTCCTCTGCTTGAGTCTGATTCTGTCTGACAGTTTTATGGCACAAGGCTGAAATTATGGATGTATTTTCTGTACTCCCCTCATCAGCCATCAGTTAACAACACATAAAATTCCTATAATTACGCCTCGGTTTCCATTTTGAAGTATGTATAAAATTTTCACCTATTTTCTCCTTCCTGTCTGAAGCTGCAGCGCAGTGGCCCAGCGCAGCCGCCAGAGAGAACTCTCCGGCATGTTTCCTAAGGCATTCGTATGCCTATTAGATGTCTTGTTTGATATATATTTCTGCGTATGAGATGTAATATTTCATGTACCTTTTTGCACCTGCCGAAGGCCCCCAAGGCTGTTTGACCAAGTTTGCTAACATTAAAGGGGATTTTTTTTTTTATTTGTTAAAGTAATGGTTATGTGCACAATGAGTCACCAGGTGTTGTTTCTGTTGCAGTTTCTATTGAAATGTTATAGATTAAAAGTCTGTGCACTGCAGAGGACAGAATCACTCTGGTTTCAAAGTGAACACCTGTCGATTGTGCTTTGTTTCTTATAGATATGTTGAAATAACTAATATATATTATATTTGAATTATAAGACCGAACCTCATCCATTTCTGTATCTTACAAATTCTCTGCGCTGCCCAAAGAGGAATATTTAGTGTGGTGATTGTAAGATTCCCACTGGTAATTTTCTGTGACCTCTGACTATGACCTACAAGACTGGAAACTCAATTCAGAAGTGCTTCTTTTTTTAAACTTAACAAACCAGTTTTTTTTTTCTTTTTCTTTTACTTGGCAAACCAGAAGATTTTGCATGTTCCTCGTCCATTCCTTGGAGAAAATGATCTGAAGTGACCTGATTTTAGTAGAAATCTATATAAAATCTGTAGAATCTGACAGCTAAACACTTTTTAGGGCAGGGGTGGGCAATCTTACCCAGAAAGGGCCGCTGTGTGTGCGGGTTTTCACTGCCACTCCCTAATTAGATTACTAACTAGAGGACTGATTGGCTGAAGAGTCCTCACACCTGGGTTTGAACAGCTGACTTACTGGTTACACACAGCGGCCCTTTGTGGGTGAGATTGCCCCCCCCTGTTTTAGGGGCACAACTTGCAGTCAGTGCAAACACCTTCTGTAATACATTATCTAGTAGACAGAAGCTGCTTTTTGGGTTTAAACTGGTCTGGCGCCCCTGGAATGAGTTTGCCAGGTCTGGTTCTCGGTGGAAGCCTCAGGCTCTTGCAGAGTTAAAGGAGCTACGTGTGACGGCGTGTCTGGTGCAGCCGGGGATCCCTTCCCCCCTCGCCTTCATCCCCGAAATGGCCCTGTCCTCTGCAGGTCGGCTGGAGCTCTGCGCGAGACTACCACACGTTCCTGTGGTCGCCGCTGCCGGAGAACCACGTGGAGGGAACGACGGTCTCCAGAAGCTTGGTGTTTCAAGGTAAAGTTGGTTTGTTTGTGTGGTTCCGTCATTTTTTATTTTTATTTTTCTGGGATGGGCTCCTTGTCCGGGAAATCTGCGCCTAGGAAATACGCTACACTTGGGCCATTAGACTCCTGACTCATTTCCATGGCCTCCTGCTTTTAATGTAACCCCACTGTAACCCTAAACCCAGATTAAGGTGAGTCAGATCCATGAATTTTGGGGGGGGGGCACACTGGCTTCTTGGCTGAGTTTCCCGTTTTCCATTTTTTTGTCCAGTTTTTCCAGTTTGTCCATTTTTGGATTCAGACAGGAGAGCTGGCATTAGAAAGGCATCACCATAGGAACCAGAGACAGCAGGTGCTTCTCTGCATCACCATCCCTCCCCCCTCTCCTCCATCCAGGATACTACGTTCCCGGAGATGACGGCGAGTTTTACCAGTTCTGCTACGTCACTCACAAGGGGGAGATCCGCGGGGCCAGCACGCCGTTCCAGTTCCGTGTCAGCTCCCCTACGGACGACCTGCTCACCATGGAGGACGACAATTCCGACATTCTTGTGGTCACGACCAAGGCCGGCTTTTTAGAGGTGAATTGAAAAAGTGACAGCAGTAATGGGAATCTAGGGGTGAGAGCCATGAACCACAAACACAAACAGCCTTGTGTTCGACGGTATCTTTTAATATACCCAGTGTGGTCAAGTGAAGTTGGGCACAATTACTTTTCCCTCTGTGCCTGATCACGAAAAACTCCCTCGGCCAAAACCATAGCTGCTGTGCTCATGCGAGACGCATCATGGCTGGACAGCGGTGCAAACCCTTTCCCTGCAGAAAAAGCTGGAGGACCTTCAGAAGGAGAATGAGGAGTTGAGCAAGGAGGCGGCTGACAAGCAGAAAGAGAAGGAGCAGATCCTGGAGGAGCGGAAGGAGCTGGAGAGGGCGTGCGAGAGGGAGAAGGTGGCATGCTGCCAGCTGAAGACCGAGAACCAGGTGAGTGGCAGAGGAGGGGGGTGGGAGACATGGGAAAATCCTGCAGAAATACCTCCCCCCGAGTCACTCTCTGCTTCTCTGTTCTACAACTTTTATTATTTTATCTTTGCAAAGTGATGACATTGTGATAAATAAGAAATCCAGTGGATTGCAGATGCAGTTTGGAGGCGGTTAAGACGCGAAGACGCCGCAGACAGACAGACAGACAGGGACGGAGAACACTTTGGTTTCCAGATACTTGATTTTTGACATTCCTGTTTATATTTGCCTGCATCCAGTAAAATGCATTCTAGATTTATCCAGAAAACCCAGAGTGTAATGGTAATATAAGCAGGCCTTTGAAGTGGTAGTCAGCCCCCCCATGGGTTTGTGTTTCTTTGACATTACACGGTTACTAAGTGGGGGCCAGTGTCTAAAAAAAAAATACTAAAAAAGTTCATTTTGATAAATTCTCAGAAGCTCAGAGTTTTGTGTCACATTTACCTTGTAGTGCCCCCTTGTTTTTATTATGCTCTGTGGTCTCTGTTGTGTATATTATCTGACCACGCCTCCCCCCCACCTTCCTTGCAGTAGTCATCTTTGGGATCGGGAAGGGGGGGGGAGATTAGAAGTGCAATTTTATCCTGCATCACAGTTTTAGACTGAGCGTGCTGTGAACAGCTGTGCTCAGTGTTTCTCAGATTTGCGCCCCCCCACCCCCCCAATACCCCCGCATGCTCCACAATCTGCACAGAAGGTTCCATGGTGTCAGGTGTGTGTGTGTGTGTGTGTGAGATACACTGTTGTTTTGACGTTATGGAGACCATGTTTCAGTCTCCGTAAAGGGAAATCCAATCTCTGTTTGGTTCTGTGACCCCAATCGAAAAAATGAAAATGCCAAAACCTTGTATTTTGTTTGGTTACTTATGGTTAAGGTTAGGGCAGGGTAGGGGTTAAAGGTCATCATTGTTGGGATTATAGTTTTCCCCATAGGGATGAATGGATGGTCCCCACAAAGATATGAGTACAAACCTGCGTGTGCATGTGCGTGTGCGTGTTCGTGTGTGACTCATGTGAGGCAGACGGGCCTGGCAGCCTTTTGGGAGCGAGCCGTCATGCACCTCAGCGAGCAGGAATCCACGTGGCCGCCTGTGCCCCAGATGAATGGGCCCTGATCTCAGGACCAGAGGGGTGTCATGACTCAGCCGGGCTCGGCCCCCACTGGAGGGGGTCGGATTCCAGACCTGCGTCGCGCTTTTTGTGGAGCCGCTCCTCCTCTTGCGACGCCGAGATTGACGATCGCCTTGGGCCTCCCGCTTAGTTTCCTCCAGATTCCTGAAGGATGCCGTAATTCCTCATTCTCTGCCTTTCTGATGTACCCCCCCC